GGCAATGTTCAGCTCTCATAAAGCTGTAATAAAAATCAAAAGAAACTGCTATAGATTGAGTAGGTGGTGGGCACACACACCTCCCTCCACCCAAATTCATATGTTGAAACCCTAATTCCCAATGTGATGGTATTTGAAGATGGGGCCTTTGGGATGTAATGCGATCACAAGAATGAAGCCCTCAAGCCAGGGATTAGTGCACTCAGAAGAAGAGACAGGGAAGAGCTTGCTTCCTATTTCTTTTGGCCGTATGAAGATGCAGGAAGAAGGCTTCTGTCTGTAAGCTGGGAAATGAATCCTCACTAGACACCAGCTCTACTGACACCCTGACCTGGGACCTCCCAGCCTCTGGAATTGTGATAAATGTTCTTCAAGCCACCCAGTCTATGATATTTTTGTTATAGCAGCCTGAACTAAGATATAAACAGTATATGGAAAGCTCTTGGCATGGTGCTTGCATATGAAAAAGCCTTAATAAATAATAGCCATTGACATCAATCATTCTAAACCCATACTCTTTTAGGTCATCAGTTTCAATAAGAAAGAATACAAGGGTTTAGTGAAAAGGTAGCAACCTGTGTAGGTCACAGGAGTTATTTGCGAATGGTCTTCAGTATGATGAAGCAAACAGAAAAGGATTTTAAAAGATTTTGGATTAGTGGTGGATTTCATAGATGTGGAATTAGGGTGTGCAACCATCCTACTTTGGGACCGAGCACTCCTGGACATTAAAAACTAGGATAGTTTTCTCTTTCCATTTTTAGAAGGGAGGGTATATTTACTCCCAGGAGAGGTCAGGACTGAAAGAAAAGTGTTCATCTCCTCTTCCACTTTCTCCCTCACAGTAAGAGTGACCCATCTGACCAGTGACACTGGGAAATAGGACAGAACATGCACAGCCCTAGCTCTGCAAAGGGGCCAGCCTGCCCACCACCTACTCAAACATGCACTCTTGAGCCCCCAGGTGGAAAATTGCTGGGCGGGCTCTGTACTTATCTGGAGAGGCCAGTTGTTCAGCATACAAATGGGTAGAGAAGTTTAGTTTGGGAGAAAAAGGAATAGGAAGTCTTCTTTGGTCACAGGTCCAAGCCCTGTTCTCCAAACAGCATTACCAAAAATAAAGTTGATATTGTGATTTCTACCTGACATCTGTGTCTATTTCTAAATTGCATCAGAACTCAGAGCGAGAAAGGGATATAATTAATTATCAACCATGTGATTAATTATCACCTTCATAAACCCCAACAGATGGATGCCTCTTTTATTTCATTGGCAGATAATCCCATTTCAGGCTGGCAGGAAAAGAGTATTTTATAAAATCAAATGTGGTTAGAGATGTAAGTGACCTTAAAGATGATCCAGTTCAATATCTTCATTTTTACTGATGAAAAGATGCACAAATGAAATAGTCAAGTGACATAATCCATATGGAATTCTGTGAGAGAGTCATATAATTATTCATATGATTAATAATTTGGACAATGGTCTTTAGAAATTGTAACCAGAATAAAAAACAAATTATAGGTAGTACAGGAGAAAGATTATACATAATAGAAAACAGATTATAGATTAAAACTAAGCAACTTCAGAGTGAAGGAAGTTTCCCTAAATAAAAGTATTACCTCCAGGAAACATCCTTAAATCATGAAGTAGCAATCAATAATTCAGAGATAATTTTTTTTTATTGGAAAGAAATCTGCCAAGGTTAATAAAACTGCTTACCCAAAATCTTGATTACCAGATAAGGTATCAAAAGAAACAAGCTTTTACCCTCTATCCTCATCCTGCCCACCTACCATACATAGTCAGGTGCTCCTCATTAGAAATGTTTATTTCATGCCTGTTAACCAGGCCCACCTCACTGGCACAGTAAGGGTCCTGGGCACTTCAAGGCACACGGAAAGACAAATGAGACCCTTTGGCCAAGCATGGTCATTTTCGGTCTTATCTCTGTCTCTTGCTGTCACCCTCACCCACCACAGTACCTAGATCTGACTTTCAGAACATGCCCAGTCCTGAGTAAGTCAGAGAAAGCCCACTTCTCCTGTCTCTCCCACTGAATCTAGCTGTGAAACCTAGACAGAAAGTATGGAACAATTACTTGGAGACTGAAAAGTATAAAGTAGCAAGTAGGCTGGGGAAGGAGACTAGAATTCAAAATAGTGCTGAACCATATCCCCAACTCCCATCCATGGCCTGAACTCAACAACCTGGAAATGGGTGCCAGAGCACAGACAAGAGCACTGTCTCCAGCATCAGGGAAGGAAACAACTGATGCACAGAGTACATGCAGAAATGCTGTTTTCCCCTTATTTATCCTTTTCCTCTCCCCTCTCTTTCACTTCTTTCCCTCCCATCTCTCCTCCTTTCTTTTCCTTTCTTTTCCTCCCTTCTGTGCTCCAGCCCCCAGCAGTCTTGTGGTAGAGGCAGCATCAGCCTACAGGAGCAGAGCCATGAGAGAGGGGAACCTACCTCTGTGCTCAGTAGTGCTGTCATTCTCCCTGGGACCACCCTTATACTGTTTTTCCTTTCTTTGTCCTCTCTCTCTGCTTGGCCAAAATGTAGTGAAAATCATGGAAGTACACAGCAGAGTGAGCTACTTGGCTAGAGCCTGAAAAGTGGTTCCACGGGATCAGAAGGTATCAAGGAGGTCATGGAGAGGAAGGAGGTTGGCTAAGCAACCCCATAAAGTTTTTTTTTTAAATTTCTGGGCTTAGCCTCAATCTGTGCATGCATGATTCAGATTTTAATTAGCCTACCAATACTTTGAGAACTCCACCCAGATGCCAGACTGACCACTAGGTGATACACGTGGGCAGATCCAAATAGTACTGCTGACGCTTTGAAACCTGGGCTAATATAGGAACCAGAGCCCTCAGAATACCAAGCGGAGGCATGGAACTCACAGCCTGAAACTAACCAGGTAGCATGAATACTGAAACAAAAGGGCCAACATTTTCCACCAGATTTAAAGAAGACTGAGAGTCTCACAACATATTATTTGAAATAGACCCAATACAATCCAAAATTTCTTGGCATAATGAAGAATCAGGAAAATCTCAGTTCCCTGGGAAATGTTAATCAACTGAAGCAAACACAACAATGATGTAGACGTTAGAAGTGTCTGACAAAAACTTTCAAGCAGCTGTTTTTTAAAAAGCTTCAACTACCAACCATGAGCACTGTTGAAACCAGTGGAAAATGGAAAGTCTCAGTGAGGAAATAGATGACACATGGAAATTTGGAATTGAAAAACACAGTAATGGAAACAAAATATTCTCTAATGAGCTCAATAGCAGAATGGAGATAATAAAGGAAAGAAAGCTATAGGCAAATCAACCTCTAGCTGGGTACCCAGTTATCATTACTTTTCATGTATTTTTCTCTCTGGGTTTAATTAACTATTGCTACGTGACAAACCACATCAAAATTCAGTGGCTTAAACTGGGAACAATCTATTATTTCTCCAAATTCTGTGGGAGCACTGGGCAATTTCTCTACTGATCTTGCCTGGACTCATTTGTTTCTGCATTCTGCTGGAGGGTGGTTGGGCTGGAAGGTCCAACATGGCCTCACTTATAGATCTGGCAGTGGGTGCTGGCTGTTGCCTGGAGGGCCTCAGGTCTCCTCCATGTGACCTCTCAACCTCCAGCAAGCTAGACTGGGCTGCTTCACAGCACAGCAGTCTCAGGGTTCCAAGAAGCTGTAAAGTCCATTCATGCCTAGGCTCTGAAACTCACACAATGTCACCTCTGTCACATTCTCTTGGTTGAAGCATATCACAAGGACAGCACAGAGATAAAAGTATTAAAAAAATTAGACTATCTCTTGATGAAAGAAGCAGCTACACAAATTTGCAAACGGATGTGGCTAGAGGGAGGCATAAGCCATTAGGATCACCTTTTCAGTGTTTTATCACATCCTTCCTGGAGAATTCATGCTGCAAATCTCAAAGGCCATGAATGTACAATTACTATGGCAGTAGAACAGATTGTGAGTCTTAGAAGAGTTTAGTGTTTCACCTAAGATCACACAGCTAATCAGGAGAAAAATGTGAAGTTAGATCTTAGGACTGCTGGATTCACTGACCAGCACTCTTGTCTCTGAGATGAGCTATACAGTATTTTGAACACTTTGGCCGTTTTACTGGTAGGAAAATAATGGACAACACTTGTATAATGTGTTAGCAATCACTCATCATTCATATTCATTTTGTGAAGGAAATAAATGCAGGTGCTTGTAGAGTCTATGAAAAAAAAGTGACTCAACAGGAACTATTCATTATCTCTCAATAAAGCTCCTAACCTATTTTATGAACCAAAACATACTGCATTCAGGCTCTTGAGTTCCTTGCACTCAAAGTTTAATTTCTTTATTAAAGTAAAATTCACATAACCTCAAATTAACCATTAATCATTTTAAGCATAAAATTCAGTGTCATTTGGTATATTCACTATGTTGTACAACTGTTACGTCAATCAGGTTCTAAGGCTCCATCACTCTGAAAGGAAACCCTGCGCCCATTTAGACTCCCCCTCCCTCAGCCCTTAGCACCCACTAGTCTACTCCTTTCTATGGATTTGCCTGTTCTGGATGTTCCATATAAGTAGAATAATACAAATAAGCTTTTGTAACTGGCATTTTTCTCTTAGCGTATTTTCATGGTTCATCCACATTGGAGCATATATCAGCAATCCATTCCTTTATATGGATAATAAATATGAAAGATATTCATAATATGCCATTGTATGGATGTACCACATTTTGTTTATCTCTTCACCAGTTGATGGGCATTTGGATTCTTTCCACTTTTTGGCTACTGGGACTACTGCTGCTATGAACATTCATGTTTAAGTAATTGTTTGAATACCGGCTTTCAAATCTTCTGAATACTTAGAACTGCTGAGTCATATGCTACTTCTAGAAAAGCTTAATTTTGATTCTAGTTTTTGACAAGGCTTCTTAAAAGTTTGAGATTTATAACCCGCTGCCAGCATTACCTTATCTCTAAAGTCAGTGTGGTTCTGGAGAATGGCTCTGTGGTACGTGGCTGTCCTCACAAAGTCTTGCATCATATTCTGCTGCTGGGAAATGCAGCCATAAAACTGTAGGGAAAGAGAAAGAGAGGAGCATAAACAACCCACCTTCATGAACATCTGGTTCTTACAGCTGCCTCAGTCAAATAGGCTTGGCCTGACACTCTGAGAAGCTGAGGCTCTGAGAGATGCAGTGACGTGTCCACACTGGCTCTGATCTGTAAGGCCTAGAACTCTGAAGTCTACCCAGACTTATGACTGCTGCTCCATGTAATAGATTCAGTCCTAGATATTGACCAGAGAGGTGCCCAGGGTCCCTCCTTTAAGCAGAGGCTGTGAAAGAACATGAATCAAAAATAATAGAGATAAGAAACAGAGAGAAAGGGACCAGGACCAAAGGGCATGTCCCTGATGAGTCTATCAATCTTGAGAGAAAAAGAGAATTTGGATAGAAATCCTGGGTGAGGGAGGGCTGGGGCAGAAAGCGGTACTGATGGTAATCCCAATGAGGCAAGCCAGGTGGGTAACATGATGCTATTATAAATCCATGAACACTGCCTGTCAGCCATATATATCATCATTGTAATTGCCATTATTAGGTAGTTTTCTATGTTTCAGGCACCATGCTAGGTGCTTTACATATATCCTCTAATCAAATTAAATTATCACAACAGTCGGATGAATTGTATTCCCCAGATGAGGAAACTGAGGCTCAGAAAGATATGTTAACTGGCCAAGACCTGACATCTTGGTAAGTGACAGAGTGAGACCTCCAATCACAGGAACCACACTTCCAGGGGACAACTGCAATATGACATCAATTGTCTCCTCTCCACCCACCACCTGCCCGGGTGTATTCACACATCAGGTGTGTGTCCCTTGAAGAAACTCAGTTCCACCTGGAGCAACTTCCCTGACCTGGAAGTACTGTGCAGCAGATGCCTCTTCTGTCCGCTGGCTGAACACCGAGGACTCCTTCTTCTCATTCTGACATCTTTTCAAGGTGTTTGAAAATGCACTTAATTCTGCAAAGAGAAGGAAAAAGAAGACCTGTTTGAAAACCTAGGAAACCACCATTGCACTCTACAAAATTCCTACTGAGAAAATATTAGAAAACTAAAAAAGAATGGTAGGTTCCTCCATGAAAACATGTACCATAAGCAATGGCAAGGTGGAAATGGGAGCTCCTCTGTGTTGTGACACCCTTATTTATACTTGTCAGATGTATTTGTATTCACAAATGTCAAGTGAGAGAGCACAAGGGAACACAGAGGCCAGACTCCCTGAATTCTCCTAGTACTGTGTTCACAAAGCTTACAGGTTTATTCTCGGTATGTGCTCTGGAGAGGGTGATTGTTGATAATGAAAAAAAATATATGTGGATACAGAATATATATATATATATATCAGAATATATATATGTATGTATACATATGTACACACATATAATGAATATATTTATGTACATACACATACATAATCACATTCTATTATAACAACAGGGTTTTTTTTTTGAATTTAGTATCCTTGAGGCATATAGAGAAAAGGTAAAATAACTGGGCATATGTAAATACAAGTGAATGCTTTCATTATTTAAGGAAAATAATACAGAGGTAAAGGCTCAAAAATCCCAGGAGTGATATTATTAATAGATAACGCAGCATGCACAGCTGTCAGGTTCTGTGATTTATGTTTTAGAAATGTCTCTCAAATCCTGCCCAGAGGTCCTCACTGCCTGTGACCTCTTCCCTTTGCACTGTGACAGGTCTCTCCCTTATAGCCCATGTTGCATCCCTAATGCCCACATACTTTCAGTTCAACTTGAGCTCCAGCCCTTCACATTCTGCCTGCCGCTGCACGTACACTGTCTCTTCTTGCTCACGCATGACCTGTACTATGCTCTCTGCACTCTTGTTACACTGAAGCACTTACAAATTCCCAAGTCAACCTGGTCCTGTCCTGTCTTCTTGATTTGAACCCTGTGTCTCTCCTCTTTAGATTACTATTTGGCATCAAACTCCTATTCATCTGCCAAGATTCAGCTCAACCAATGTTTCCCCATTGCTATGTTCTGGAACACCCATTAGCAGAATTGGTTGCTGTAGCAACAGTGGGCCTCAACACTTAGCTATAGGTCAGAATCACTTGTGAAGATTTTTAAAAATGTAGAAGCTGGACCCTCATCCTACAGCTCGTAATTCAATGTTTTAGTGGTAAGGGACAAGGCAACTCCAGAGTTAGTTTTCATGTACAGCCAGACATCAGAAATTTTGCTTTTAATCTCAGTCTCTGAGCTTACCATTGTATTATGTATTTAACTGAATTTATCAATTCAATTTTTAAAAATGTCTGTCTAGCTATATCAAATTCTTTTAGGGCATGGTCTAGGGGTTCAAGCCCTATTTATCCCTAGTTGTCAGATCATAGTGCTAACATAGTAGCCACTCAAAAAATACACCTAAAATGTAAATTCACTAAATTTGGGGAATTGAATAATGAACTTGGTGAAATTATTTTCAACTGGTGAGGCAGCCCTATGAAACTCCGAGGTTATCTCATGTGGGGGCAGATAGGAAAAGGTCTTGTTGGAGAATAAATTTGTGAACACAACTTACACAGCCCCTCTGGATGGATAAAGGGAGAAATTTTTGGTGGAAATAAAAATCAAGATTAGATTGACAATGTATCCTGAAAAATCAGAGTTTTGCTAGCTTATAAATGCTTATTTCAATTTACAAATGCTCATCTAGCTAGTTCCCATGTAGATCTCTCTTTTGTGAAAACAGAATCGTTCTTTGGCTAAAAATTTATTGCCTTTATAAAATTTTCTGTCAACTCTTTATCTTTTGCAATAATATCCTTACAAATGAAAGGATACAAACAATGATTTTAAGATAATTATGAAATCAAACACACAAAAAATATAAAAATTTTACAAAATGAAAAAAATCAAAAAGAAGAAAAAAATAATAGCCCCATTGCACAAGCTATTAATTATTGTTAACATTTTGGTGTACATTCTTTGGGGTGTCTATATGTGCACTCACGCATGTGAGTGCATATAAAAATTCCTCTTTATAAAATTGCATCACATTTTCCCTTAGGATACTATCTTTTCACTTAGGATACTATGAATAACTTCATAACTGTTAAGTAGTCTCCCCCACCCGACTGTTAGTGGATATATGTTTTTGACTTTAGAGGATATGCCATAATTTAACCCATCTGCTATGGTTGGATTTCCAAGACCATTACAGGTCTACTGTAAATGAATGGTAGAGCCCAGCATCTGTATTTTTAACCATGTCCCTGTTGATTCTGATGAAAAACGTTTTTTGAGAATGCCAACTAAGAGAATATGGCAACATCTCTAATAGAATTCTATATTACAGTAAGCAAGACACCATTCCTTCACAACATCCCCCACACATGAACTCAACAGATTAACCAGTATTTCTATTCTCTCATGACATATTACTTTTGACTGTTTCCTTTGCAATTAAAAATATATTTTGTATATAATTTAATCACATATTTAGGAATACAGAAAAAAAAGCAAGGAAGGAAAAATTATTCCCAGAAATAATCACTACTAATATTTTGGGATAGAATCTCCCTGTAATTTCTCTTTGTATGTCTTTATTTATTTATTTTTTTTAATTTATTTTGTTGTCATTAATCTACAATTACATGAAAAATATTATGTTTACTAGGGTCCCCCCTTCACCAAATCCCCCCCACAAACCCCATTACTGTACTGTCCATCAGCGTAGTAAGATGTTGTAGAATCACTACTTGTCTTCTCTGTGTTGCACAGCCCTCCCCATGCCCCCCCACCACATTATACATGCTAATCATAATGTCCCCTTTCTTTTTCCCCACCCTTATCCCTCCCTTCCCTCCCTTTCTCCCCAGTCCCTTTCCCTTTGGTAACTGTTAGTCCATTCTTAGGTTTTATGATTCTGCTGCTGTTTTGTTCCTTCAGTCTTACTTTGTTCCTATAGTGTTTGAGTTTGAGGTGAGTCTCTTGTAAGCAGCATAGAGATGGGTCTTGCTTTTTTATCCATTCTATTATTCTGTGTCTTTTGATTGGTGCATTCAGTCCATTTACATTTAGGGTGATTATTGAAAGATATGTACTTATTGCCATTGCAGGCTTTAGATTCATGGTTGTCAAAGGTTCAAGGTTAGTTTCTTTAGTATCTTACTGTCTAACTTAACTCATTTATTGAGCTATTTTAGACACTGTCTAGTCATTATTTTTCTCCCTTCTTATCCCTCCTCCTCCGTTCTTTATATGTTGGTTGTTTTATTCTGTGCTCTTTTGTGCTTCCTTTAACTACTTTTGTGGGTAGTTGATTTTATTTTTTGCCTTTAGTTAGTATTTGGTTGGTCTGCTTTCTTTGCTGTGATTTTATTTTCTCTGGTGACATCTATTTACTTTTAGAAGTGCTCCCATCTAGAGCAGTCCCTCTAAAATACCCTGTAGAGGTGGTTTGTGGGAGGCAAATTCCCTCAACTTTTGCTTGTCTGGGAATTGTTTAATCCCTCCTTCATATTTAAATGATAGTCATGCTGGATACAGTATTTTTGGTTCAAGGCCCTTCTCTTTCATTGCATTAAGTATATCATGCCATTCTCTTCTGGCCTGTAAGGTTTCTGTTGAGAAGTCTGATGATAGCCTGATGGGTTTTCCTTTGTAGGTGA